ACTAGAGAGAATCTTAACAAATTGAAAACCTTAGGTTTAGCGTAATAACACTAACAAAAACAATAAAAACAATTGTCTTGCTTCTTTTTCAAGTTACATTGCATGTTTTACCTTTATCTTACAAATTTGCTTATTAGAAATTTGATGCTCCTAATTCTGCACAAACCAGACTAAACAAGTTAGTATTTTTCCCCCTTATTTTGAATATTTTCGAATTCCGGATAACTTGAGAAAGTTGAGATTTTTTTACAAAGATAAAAGTCAAAGAAACTCAGGCGATTTTTCAAACAAGAACAAATGAATCTAAAAGAAATAAGTTACAAGTGTTCGCAAAGGTTGTTCCACACAATTTCATATATCATTGTTTCACTTGGTACAATTCCCTTTTTCATGATCCAACTTTCAGTTCAACAATTTTTTCAATATCAATTAAAGATTTCATGATTCAACTTTTGGTTCAACAATTTTTCCAATATCTATTAAATAGCGGGTATTCGATTGTGAAGGAATTACAAAATATATTTATCGTAGAGTTGCGTATTCAATTCACATAAAAAAAAAATGAGAAGGATTTGTTACTGTTTAGAAGCACAACATGATGCATAATATTGAATTTGTTAAATATACTTTGTAACATGAATCATGAGTAAAATTAAAAACACAATACTTAAAAGTATATTGTAACATTTCGCAACTAGAAAGAACTAGAAGGAAGTTTAAAATCTGGAAATAGTTATTTTTGGAAAGTATAAGGATATCTGGAAAATTTTAAGCAAGTTAAAGTGAGTTTTTGGTCAACTTCAAACGACCATAACTCCTAGCTCAAGATGAGTTAGGTGTATTTCCAGATATGGTTGGAAATTTCTTGGAATGATCTTTCCAACACCACTAAGTTTATGCGATTCCGAGTTCATATGAGTAATTTATTCCCTTTGGAAGTTGGGCTGTTCGAATAAGGAAATGCCCAATCCGAATTTTGAAGGGTAGTTTGGTCTTTTCCTTACCCAATTAATTAAATCCATTTTTAATAAAATAGTTTGGGTCAAAACTGATTTAGTTCAGTTTGCACTTTTGAGAAATAGAGTTAGGGGTTTTGGAGAAAGAACGCAAGAGAAAGGAGAAGAGGAAAAGTAAGATTCGCTAAGAACGATCGATTTTGGTTGCGGATTCGCCGAGGAATTGACCCTACAAGGTATGTGAGTCTTTCATAGCGTTAGGTTCATTCACCCACGCGCCAAACATGTTTAGTTCAGCGAAATTCGTCCTAAAAAAGTTTGAAAGTTGATGTTCTTGTATTGGGATGAATTGAGAAGTTTCTGAGTTCGTTACGTCGCATCATGGAGTCGCTTTGAGTTAGAATCTTAGGTACATTTTCTGGGTATCTATATCTAAAAGTAATTTGAGAAAAAGAACCGAGTTTGGGTGAATTGGGGTTGGAAAAGGAAGAAGAAGATTTCGTCGGACGAAATCCGGCACTGCCTCCGCGTCGCGTTGCTGGTTCCTAGATTTGAGAATTTTTGTTTCACGTCGCGGAGTGTTCTGCCTAAAACGTCATTTGCAAAACTAAAATTTTAAAGCTTCTCCACGTCGCGGAGCCATCACGGAGTCTTTTGCCTCAAAAGACGTTTTCGGAACTAAAATTTAATTATGCCTCCGTATCGCGGACTCACCTTCAAATCTTGATATTCGATCTTTTCACATGTTTAGCTATCTAAAATCATTCCTAAACAATATGAGATCTTTCCAAACACCAATCATAATCCTTGAATCCATAATTCAATTCAAGAACTAGTTAAGAGTCAAGTCAAGAGCAGTTAAGAGTCAAGTCAAGAGAAGTTCATTTCAAGTTTTCATAAGTCTTTTACAAACGTTTTAACTTTGTTTTAAGACTTAAGTTTTGAAGTTGAGTAAAGAGTAAGAGCAAAGTTCATTTTCTTTAAAATGATATATGGGAACTAAGTATTTCCAAGAGTAAATGTTTTCACATTTAAGATGAGAGGAAACTGAGATTTCCAAAAGAGTTTTGAACAGCAAAAGGGAACATTGATTCCCAGAGAGTTTTTTAAGATAAGTTTGAGCAATTATCTCAAACCAGAGAGGAAGTTGTTTTTAAAAACATATGAGCTAAGTATATTTTGGAGTAGTATTGAGCACCGATATGGGGACGCGATTTCATATTAACTCAAGCCCCCATAAACCATGTAGCCATCATGGGCAGAAAAATGATCATACTTTTTAGATGATTCCTTAGTGTTTTTTTTAGCATAGATTAGTGGATCCACTTAATAGTTCAGGTTCTATACCGATGGCAAGGTATAAGACGGTCCTTGGCAACGTGAGGTAAAACATTGTACCATCACTTAGGCTCATAGTGATGGTTGTCGGTTAGATAATCTCTCACATAAGTTATATTACTTTCTAAATGAGTAAAGTTAAGTTTACTATTGTTTTATCTTTAACGAACTAAGATTATCTTCAGTTGTTTTATAAGCTTTATATTTATATCGCATGTGTTTTATTGCTTTATATTGAGTTGAGTATACATGAGTTGAGAAGATCCAGGTAGGTGTTTCTTCCATTATCTCTTTCGAGCCTATGTTTGTTAGCATTTCAAGTCACATACTCGTACATTCGATGTACTGATGCCAATTGGCATGCATCTTATTATGATGCAGACGCAGGTAACCAGGATCAGCATCAGCATCAGCATCCAACGCCTCGTTGATCCAGCTTGAGCATTCAGAGTCTGTTGGTGAGCCTTCTTGCATTTCGGAGGACTCCTCTATTTGCCTTCTAGTCTTTCAGATGTTAGGATGATCGGGGGTCCTGTCCCAACATCTCTTTTTGTTTTAGAGGCTTCATAGACATTTAGTAGTTCTGTAGTTTTTGCATTTTCATTCTTATGTTAAAGGCTTGGGTTGCCACTTTTGGCCAAGTTGAATGTTTAATCTTTAAAACATTCTCAGTTATTTTATTATTTAGTTCAGTTTAGTTCATTAATCATTATAGATATGAATATTGTCTTCCGTTGAGTTAAGTAAGCCAGGCCAAGGGTTCGCTTGGGGCCAACAACAATGGTCTTCGAGTGCCAGTCTCGCCCAGGGTGTAGGCTCGGGGCGTGACATATATCTAGATGTCCAGATATAAAATATAAAATATAAAATATAAACTAAATCATAATGAAAGGTAATAATTAAAAGAGCAACTTTCACATATAGCAAACACAAAATTCATATTTGTATGCTATAGCAAAGTTTGCATAATTGTGCTCCATAGCAAACATAAATATGTATATTTCGCTATACATATACAAAAGAAAGCAGTTGTATAATCTGCTTTGGTATACATATACAAAAAGATCAATTGTATAAAGTGAGAGAAGCGAGTGAGCGAGCGAGATCTGGGAGAGTGGCGAGCGAGATCTGGGAGAGGGGAGAGAGGGGAATGAAAATATATGTATATATACAATTTTCACGCATTTTATACATTTGCGTTTTTGTATAAAGTGAGAGAGCGAGATCTGGGAGAGTGGCGGTCGAGATCTGGGAGAGGGGAGAGAGGGGAACGAAAATATATGTATATATACAATTTTCTCTCGCTTTATACAAACACAAACGCACTTTATACACTTGCGTTTGTATAAAAAACGAGAGTGGCGAGCGAGATTCACCAGGAGAGAGGTGAAATAGCAACAGTTTGCTATGGGATACAATTAAATCAACTATATTTATAGCATTTAATTTGAATTAATAGTTTGCTATTGTATACAATTTTCCCTAATTAAAAAGGGAGAAAGTAGTTAACTCCGATCCAACTTTAATTCTAAACCTAAATATTATATATGTAATTATTAATATATATTTTTACAGTTTGTCGGAATTTATATTTCAAAATCCGAAATCAAATAAAAATAAATAATTTTTTTATCCGAAATCAACAAAAGAAAAACAAAAAACCAATCCAAATTAAAATTTAATTCGATTTGAATTTAATTTTTCAATTTAATCCGAATAATGCCCGCTCCAAAATCCTAATACAAACGTTTACATTCATTTTACTCTAGTTATAAAATCTCCTACTATATATATTACTGTACTAAATAGAGAATTTAAAATAAATAGTTCCTCGCTAAATAATAGCCGACAAATATAAAAAAAATTAATATTAATTAATGTATAATATGTACCTAATTACTTTGTTTGTAGTTATACTTCCTAGCTAGTACCTTTGTCTGTTCCTAACAGACAAGAGTCCATACTAATATTTGTGTTTTGAGTATTTCAATTTGCAATATTCTAGTAATAAGTCGTACTAACAAAAGAAAAGGTAATCAGCCCAAAAGAAGAGCCAAGTGAATGGAAGGTTCAGCGAAAAAATTACACTATATATATTACTAGTTAGTTTAAAATTACTTTTTAGATATGTGTAGCCAGGGGCGGAGCCAGCCTTCTGTTAGGGGTTCATCCCAACCCCCTTTGGTGAAACTTTTTACTATTTATACATGGTTAAAATTATTTTTATGTATATATAATAGATGTCGAACACCCTTCGGTTAGTTCGTGTGTTTAGATCTTCACATATTGAACCCCTTATTAAAAATCCTAGATCCGCCACTGGTGTAGCGTGTATCTTTTTTGATTTTTCGTGTGTTTACTTAGTAAAATTTTTGGCTCGACCACTGAATTAGACTTCGGATGTAAAGGTTCTGGCTTCCATGCACACAAAAATCAAGTTACTATTAAAATAGTATTGAGATTGACATATGCACTGAGATTATCCCAATGTAAGGAATTACTCACATCCTAAACTTCTACAGTAATTTTCTAGAGCCATTATATATGTAATCTAACATACAATGTTCAGATCAAGAAGGCCTTTATAGGAATATTGTGCATAATATCATGGAAGAGTCGTATTTATGTGGCGTTTCGATCTGTCATTCGTATAATAAGCCATAGTTTATAAATTGGAGTTCCTTAATTCCTCTGTCAATTTCAGCTATGGTTGCTGTCTGCAATGTTTTTCTTCTGAATCTGTTGCTGCTTTATGGTTTTCTGGCATCCTTCACTTTGAGCATGCAGTTAAGTAAGGCGCTATTATCACTCTTTTATGTGTAGCATCATTTGCATTTATCTGTTTTTTATATTTCCATTTTTTGTCTGCTTATTGCACAAAGGAAACTGGACTATTTTTGTTCTATTGATGTTGAAATGTTTGATGTGACTCTGTAGAGGACTTAAAAAATGGTGCTCAATCATATGGTATTCGTGAAACTCGTCAAGCCCCAAATGGTGTTTGTATTGAAAAAATTGGAAATGGATCTTATATTGGCATGGCTCCACACCCTGATGGCTCTAACCGCGTATTTTTGTGGAATCAACAAGGTAAGGTATGGATTGCCAATGTTCCTGAGGATGGATCTAATGGAGTGTTGGAAATTGATGAATCAAAGCCATATCTAGATATAACTGATCATGTGCTTTTTGGTTTGCAATTTGGGGTAATGGGAATGGAGTTCCATCCTAATTTTGTAAGTAATGGTCGTTTCTTCATTTCGTACCACTGTGATAAGTTGCGACACTCAGGATGTTTAGGTAGATGCTCGTGTAACTCGGAAATTAATTGTGATCCAGCAACACTTCCAATAGACAGTGGCATTGCACCATGCCAGTATCAAATTGTAGTAGCAGAGTTCACAGCAAATGGTACTGCAACAACACCTTTCTTGGTATACATCCGTTATTGCTTCATACGATAAGAATTTGAAATTTTTCTTCATTGAAATTCTCTTGATTACATACTTTGATCATCGTCATGACAGGTAGAAAGTGCGAAGACATTGGAAGTGAGGAGGATATTTACAATGGGACTCCCACATAGGGGAGTTTATGGAGGACAGATTCTTTTCGGCCCTGCAGATGGATTTCTGTATGTTATGACTGGTAGTGGTACACATCGCGGGGACCCTTACAATTTTGCACAAAACAAAAGATCATTGCTCGGAAAGATCTTGAGGATTGATGTGGATCAAAGTATGCTGATCAAATGTTGATATATTGTGTAGACTTGTTTTATGATTTACTTTTTAATTTCCAGAAAAAGGTTTAGGCAAACTTATCCTATTCGAGTAAACCTTTGTGCCTTGAGTCATAACAAGGAAATTAAACATTTGCAATCACTACATACATGGAAACAAACTGATTGATGAGACTGCATGTTTTTTGGACTATGACATCTGAACTCTGCAATTTTCTCATTTAATTACTGACAGGAAACGAAGTGCATGATCGAGGGCTTTGGGGAAATTACTCCATACCAAGAGGTAATCCGTACAACAATGACAAGCAATTAGCACCTGAAATTTGGGCTTTAGGTCTTAGAAATCCATGGCGTTGTAGTTTCGATTCAGAAAGGCCTTCCTACTTCATGTGTGGAGATTCTGGACAGGTTTGGAACTTAACTATATTTTAGGCAAAACAGTAAGCATAGTCATTGAGTTGTTATTAGCTTAAGGGAAATCTTGATAAGTTCAAAAGCAAAAACAGGACATATGTTAAGTCTCTTGGAATACATTATTAAAGATACTTATCCTTTCATGAAACTTATAGGACATGTATGAAGAGATAGATATGATAACAAAAGGTGGAAACTATGGATGGCCCGTCTACGAAGGCCCTTATCTCTTCAAACCAGCAAATGCCCGAGAAGGAAGCACTTCTAATTCTAGCTCCAACAGTCTCATATTCCCGGTCATGGGATACAACCACCCTGAAACTTACAAGACAATTGGTTCCGCGTCCATAATTGGTGGATACTTCTATAGATCTCAAACTGATCCTTGTCTGTATGGAAGGTTTGCATCTCTTTTTTCTTTGCTAAAAAACTTGAAACTCTATAGTTGTGTGTACTGTTTCATTAGCTCAACCTGATTTTGAATCAAAACTTTTTAGGTACTTATACATAGACTTATATCCAGATGGAATATGGTCAAGTACTGAAAATCCTGAACATAGTAGAAGCTTTACAAGTTCAAAAACCCCATACAGGTGTGCGCGTGATTCTCCAATCCACTGTGAATCAATTGCAGAGGATGTTATGCCTGCTATAGGATACGTTTCGTCTTTTGGGGAAGACAATAGAAAAGATATTCATATGCTAACAACCACTGGCGTCTACAGAGTTACACGTCCGAGTAGGTGTAACTACCATTGTCCTAAAGAAAGAAGTGTAGCAAGTAAACCAGCTCCTTCTGTTTCCATGTCTAGGAAATTATGGGAGAGGGAAGAACACTATGCTCTTCTAATTTCTTCTATGTTGCTTCTTTTGTTGAATCTTGTATAATGGGATATGCAATCTTGTTATCATTAAGAATTTACTCAATTAGTAGTAAATGTTGTATTTCTTCTCCATAAATTTGGCATTGATTTATGATGGAAAAGATTTATCAAGATCAAATCTTTTTTTTTTTGAAAAATAAAATTAAAATTCACGTTGATTATGAACCGTTAACCTCTAAAGAAGGGAACACAACATATTCAAGTCATTAGCAACAATGAAATAACTGAAAAAATGGGTTAAAAATTTAATTTTACAGATGCATGAATTTCGTTAATATATGCTTATATATATGCCTAAGCTATTTATATATATATATATATATATATATATGCGATACTAAACTTTCATGAGGACCTATTACCTCCCTAGACTATTTAATATCATATTTTTTACCCCTGAACTATTTAATAGTGTATTTTAAAGGTATATATGTGCCAACGTGGACACATTACTATTTATAATTTTGCATTATTTTTTATGTCCACGTGGACAAATATATATGTTTAAAATACGGTATTAAATAGTCTAGGGAGGTAATAGGTCCTCATGAGAGTTTAGTATTGCAACAGCAAATTCGACCAAAGTTGGGATATTTTTCAGACTCTTATCCCTATATATATATATATATATAAATAGATATAGACCAAACCTTATAAGTTTTTAAATACTTAAAGGACTAAAATCGGTAGGTGCATAGTTAAGGGACTAAAAACGATAAGTATATAGATAAGGGATCAAACTTAATTACATTTTGGATAGTTAAAAGATTAAATACGATAAATATAAAGTTATAAATTATTTTAGACCTACTCCAATAGTTTATGGACCATTTATGTCCTCCTCTCGTTGTAACTACATACCATTTAGGTTTAGATTATGTTGTAATTCACCTATATTAAAAGAAAGAAAGAAACTTAACAACTCCATAAAATAAAAAATATGCAGAGTCTGTTGTAACTTGGATTAGGTCATGAATGACATAGGATTGAGATCATATGAAGAAGATCAGAAGAATTGAATATATATAATTATTGGAGTCTTCCAACAGGAGCCAAAATTATTGACCATATATATGGAAATTAAAGATTAAACTATTTCAAAAAACCATGGACGCTGCTGAACCATTTTTTTTTCAGCACAAATCATTAATGATGTAGCGTTATAAGTATTACTAGAATGGTCAATTATTTCATCAAATATAGATTGTTTAACTCTCGAATTCAAATTATGTCGCGTAAACTGATACGAAGTAATACTTTAAGGAAGGAAATGTAGAGATAATGTGTTGGTTCTAAAACAGAGCAAATCCAACCCAATCAGTATCGCTCACTGGTCGTCGAGGCGACGACTCACGTGACGAAAACGAAGAGGAAAGTGAATCATGAAAAGGAGAAATTGACTTCCGGCTAGATACAGACCATCGAGAAACTGTCTCTAGATCCGACAAGTAATCGGGTTCGGGTTCGGGTCCAGTCTTATGACTCTTCTTCTTCTTCGTATTCTTCTCCGTTGTTCGCTTCAGCAATGGAGACGGGAAGCACCAATCTGAGGCAACTCCCATAGCGGGTCGGGTCAATAGATTTAAAACATGCCTATCTGATCGTGCCCGTGGAGCTGACCGGAAGGATCGGGTTCGGGGCTCCTCAATTGGTTGTTGGAAATTGAATTCAGCCGCCGGTGGAGGTTTCAGCCTACGTGGGGTTTCTGGTATTGGACGGCTCCGATTGTTCTCGGCTACTTCCTGTTTGATTAATGGTGGTTGTGAATGTTGAATCTTGGGTACTCCGGGTCGGATTTCCCATTTGAACGGAATAACTCCGGCCTGCTTAAATGATTCATCCGCTTCAATTTCCATTCTTTTAGAGAAAATGACTGAAACTTACACTTGTATTTTTCCTCCTAATACAATTTATATATAGTGAAGATGAAGAAGAAGATTGATTTGATGCATGATCAATGGCGCAAGGAGTGGAGTTTGGTGGACTCTTGTTTTGAATTTTCAAATAATTCATGGTCACACACATAAAATGGACACTAACACCTTGCGGAATTAATAGATAGACAAAGTTATATTTTTTGATTCGAATATTTTATTGAATCAGTTATTGCATTAACTATTTAAAATATTTAAAAAGTATTGAAAAAATTATAATCGAGGAGAATTCAATAATTATTAGGACAAATAAATAGAAACGAAGGGAGTATATAAAATTATAAATTAAATATAATTATTTAATAAGATTGTGTAAATATTTTTGATGAGTATCCGTGGAAAAAATATTATTATAATTCAAGAAGGACAAATCACCTCTCATTTATGTCTTGACTTTTGCTAGTTTTGAACAAGAAAATGTAGAAAATAACGGAGTATTGATTTTCTTTATAATGTGGACAGATGGGAAGTTGATCATGTTCAAAGTTGGCCAAACTTGGGAAGATTATGCATTAGTTAAAATTGTGACTTAAACTCATATATATAATAAAAAAATGTCTCTTGGATAAGTTTTTTGAAAAAATTGGGGAAAAAGTCTAGGGCAAACTACACAAATTTCAATAGTTTAGGTCATAATTACTAGGATTCATGTTAGTTTAAAATATTACTTCATATACCATATTTTGGTATTTGGATACATGTATCATGACTTGTCAGATATATGTATTTGATAGTTTAAAAAAATGAGATACGTGTTTTATTATTTTTTAATTAAATGTGTGTAACTGTTATCCTTATTTAAAGGAGTAATTGAGTATTAATTAAGAACTCTAGCAGATTTTGGCCTTTGAATGCATGTATTCGAAGGTTAAAAATCAAGATACGTGTATCCAACGGGTAAAAAAGATCGAGATACATGTTTTATTAATTTTGAAATAGATGTGTATTACTGTTTTCCTTAATCAAAGGAGTAATTGAGTATTAATTAATAACTCGAACAATTTTGGCCTTTGAATACATGTATCCGAGGGTTAAAAAATCAAGATACGTATATCTGACGGGTAAAAAAGATCAAGATACATGTTTTATTAATTTTGAAATAGATGTGTATTACTGTTTTCCTTAATCAAAGGAGTAATTGAGTATTAATTAATAACTCGAACAATTTTGGCCTTTGAATACATGTATCCGAGGGTTTTAAAATCAAGATACGTATATCTGACGGGTAAAAAAGATCAAGATACATGTTTTATTAATTTTCTGGGTTTGTATCCTTAAGAAGATGTGTTAGATACAACATCTTGCACTAGATGTGTAACTGGGTTTAGTGATGTATTTGTTTTGGTAAGTAGAGCTTTGCATAGTTCTTTCATTTATATTGGGTCGTTCCCGTGCTTAGATCTATTCTCAGCTTGAATGTTAGCGGATGGAGATTCAACCTGCAATGAAAAAATCTTGAGAGAAAACAAACTATAAAGTTCATATCTCATAAACATATTGTATATTAATGTTAATGTGTTGTACATTTACTGAGAATCATTCAATTTTGGAAATGGTCACCAATGACAAAATAAATAGCAACAAGATCATACTATGTAGGACCTACTTCATAAAAAAATTTAAAATTGAAATTTAAAATGATATGAACTCTATCATAGATATATGAAAAGGGAGAACTTTATTCTAGATACATGAGAATACTGATACAAAGTTACAAATTTCTACCTATAATTTTGAATGCCAATATTCAATTTTGATAATTTGCTATTAAAACGTAATTTGAGAGAAAGAAAGAAGAAAAAGATGGTGGAAGCAGTGGAGGACGTGAGGGTGGGGATGATAGACACTGATGAATAATGGGAATTTTATTTGGAAGAGAGAAATGGTTGATGAGAGAGAAAATTTTTATGTTAATTCACCATTAAATTAGGTGTTTAAATATAAAGATAATTAATCAATCCTATTTTTAGGGGATTTGTATATCTTATTGTATCTTTTAAAATATATGGTATAAAATATTAAAAGTGGTAATATAAGTAATTGTTTGAAACTAGAGGTAAAATTAGTATATATGATTGTGATGTATGTCTAATTTAGTAGTTTTTCGAAAAGTCTATTGTAACAGATAACAAGTAGAGCCGTCAATATGGGCCAGGCTCGTTAGGCCGATCTGGCCTAACCCGTGATTTGATAAGATTGGGCTACGATTTTTGGAGCCCATTTAAGAAAAGGGCTTTTTAGCCCAGCCTGAATAAGTCTGTCGATTTGTGGGGTTTGAGAAAGGATAAACTACCTTATTAGACATACATCACTACTATATATACTAATATTATCTTTACTTTCAAACAATTACATATATTACCACTTTTAATATTTTATACCATATATTTTAAAAGATACAATAAGATATACAAATCCCCTAAAAATAGGATTGATTAATTATCTTTATATTTAAACACCTAATTTAATGGTGAATTAACATAAAAATTTTCTCTCTCATCAACCATTTCTCTCTTCCAAATAAAATTCCCATTATTCATCAGTGTCTATCATCCCCACCCTCACGTCCTCCACTGCTTCCACCATCTTTTTCTTCTTTCTTTCTCTCAAATTACGTTTTAATAGCAAATTATCAAAATTGAATATTGGCATTCAAAATTATAGGTAGAAATTTGTAACTTTGTATCAGTATTCTCATGTATCTAGAATAAAGTTCTCCCTTTTCATATATCTATGATAGAG